CGGGACGGATCTCGGCTGGAAGGGTGCTCGCACCCGTTACCCGCCGGTCCTCGGCAGTATGCCCGTTTGCTGCCGGCCTGCCCGGCCGCTGGTTGTTTCTTCTGGTTGTAGCTGCTTCAGGCGACTAGAGATGGTAACAGGCAGCAGACTGCAGTCGTTTCTGTGCTGGGTGTAACACACTTCAGTGAAGGTGTTTTCTGTTACAGGAGGCTCAATGAGAGAGAGAGAATTGGAGAACTGGGGGCCCCTGAAGTCTGGGGACTGTCACCAAAGGTTCCAGACCCCGAGTAAGGCATACTCATTCTTCTTCCCTTCCGGTTTTTATGATATTGATTGTGTGTCAGTTTAATTTACAAAAATGTCTTACTCCTACGCTAGTCCCTTTGCCGTAATTCATGTTGTGTCAGTTCATTTCTGAATCAACAAGATTATTACTTTTTTTTCCCAAATAATTCCAACATACCAGTTATGCAAGGCATGATTTAGGTGATCAGGTGGCCTTTGTGTTGTGGTTCTGAAAGCAGTTCCCACACTGTAAATTAGCTGTTTAATCGTTTACTCTATGCAAGTATTGACTCCAAATCTGCAAGCATATGTGAACCTTTGATCTTGAATACTGCAAAATAGATTTTAAATAGCAAACTTTTATTTTTATTCAGTTCCGATGAGCATACACCAGTAGAAGATGAAGAGGCAAAATCTAAGAGTAGTTCTTCAGACTCCAGCTCAGAAGGTATTTTGGTTTGCTTACATAGCTTGTTTTGAAAATGGGAAGCTACCAAAGTCTAGAATGTTCTGTTGTTGCTTGCAAGAGGTTCACTGACTTTGGGTGCAAATGAGTGTGGTGGGCTCCAGTTCAAAGGAAAACGTTGCTTTGGGAAGATTGGGAAATAAGTATGGAGCTAGATGATCTTTGTCTGTTCTCTAATGTTATCTTTTAAAAACATTGTAGAGGAAAAAAAGAAAAAGAAGAAGAAAAGAAAGAAGAAAAAACGGAAGGCATCCAAAAGAAAACGCAGAAAACATTCTGAGGACAGTGACAGCGAGTCGGAGTCTGAGCAGAGCTCCAGTGGTAAGAAAAAAGGCTTTCTGATAATGTGTGTGGTGCGAGAGCTCTCCTTCTGCTCCTCTGACCACAACGTGATGCTTCTGGCTTTTGTTGTATACTTGCAGTGTTCTGAAATTACAGAGCTGCAGCATCAGTCCAGTGTTCTTTTCTTTCACCATCTTGCTGGGTTTGCAGTGCTTTTTCCTGAGTGCTTGCGGTCTGGCCTCAGGAAATGGGATTTCTGAAGTTAGCATCCATTGGGCGTCTCGTGCCAGAGATACGTTCAATACATTCTCATGTCGAACCATCCTGGATGTAGCTTTCTCCTAAGACTTTCTCAGTGTTAGTTTGTACCTAAACAAATCACAACTGAGGAGCTGCGTACTAAGGCATTCTGGTGGAGGCAGTTAGTTATTCACAGTGCAGTAAACTGATTAGTTATAGCTAATCATCTCTTTCAGATAATATATACTTACTTTTTTTTTCAGATGAAGATAAGAAGAAAAGCAAGAAGAAGAAAAAGAAGAACAGAAAGTAAGTTTCCAGGTTGTTGTGTGTAATTCTACATGCTTCTGACTAGAGGGCAGCACCGCTTTCTTAGCAGGTAGTGAGGAAGGCTGAGCACTCTTCTAATTAGGTCTATAAATGCTGTCGAATAATCTTAATTTGATAGATTTTCTTTAAATCTACAGAACCACGCGGCACAGAGGACTCGCTGCAAACATAAGGAGCCACTTTCTAGTGCTATGTGATAGGAATAAGGCTCTATAGTCTTTGGTTTGCTGTAAGGTGTTTTCTATCGAACAACAGCAATCTATATGCAGACAGCCGGTCTGCCCATAGGTGGAAGTTTCCTTGAGAAAGTAGTGACTTGAGTATGATTCCCAGCACTTTCTTTCATCTTAAATTTTGATAAATAACATGTCTGTCTTTGACTTCATCGCAGGAAGAAGTATAAGAAAAAGAAAAATAAGAAGAGCAGGAAAGAATCCAGCGATTCAAGTAGTGAAGATTCCGATGATGAAATGTTTCAAGGGGAAGATCTCTGGATTGAGAGATCAAGTACGTTCACCTGACTTTAAACTTAGATTGAAACTCCTTGGTGTCCTTGTCATGAATTCTTTGTTAGGTGTTGCTGACCTGTGTAACTGTTCTGATAACAAAGGACAATGGGCACAATATTAATCTTCCTCATTATTTGATTGTTGCAGAAAATACAGAAGCTGATAGCTTGATTGGACCAGAGGCTCCCAAAACTCATGCGTCTCAGGATGATAGGCCTTTGAAGTGAGTAGCCAGCTCTAACAGTACTTTGATCAAATCAGGCCTGAAGGTTACTGTTCAGAAGGGCTGTTGTAACAATATGGCCTACATCAGAGAGAAATGCTCTGCCAGGAACTCCCAGGCAGAAGTGGTAGTGGTGCTAGCCTTTACCCTGGCTGGAGTTCAGGTAGAAAAGTCTGGTTTATGCTTTTTAGCCTTGATTCCTAGAATATCAATTGTAAGGTGTCTTTATGCTAATTCTCTGCAGTGTTGTGACTTCATAGTGTTTTCATTCCTGTTTAATCAGAATGGATTCAAGTGGTAATTTAAGATGTTGTTGCTAGTGTTAGCTGTAACGAAGAAACGGGCCAATATGTGGGAAAGATAAGAAAGTGCTTAAAAATGCAGCTGTAGCAAGTAGTGAACAGGGAAGCCGGATGTTTAGCTCAGGCTCTGTCTATTTGAGACTGATTAAAATCACTGTTTTGTTTGGGTTTTTTTTTTAAGCTATGGACATGCCCTCTTGCCCGGTGAAGGTGCAGCAATGGCAGAGTATGTAAAAGCAGGAAAACGTATACCCCGGAGAGGTGAAATCGGCTTGACCAGCGAAGAGATTGCATCATTTGAGAGCTCTGGTTACGTCATGAGTGGTAGCAGGTACGGTTTTGGTGATGGTAACGGTTCAATGAAATTTTCAAGAGCTGCTTCCTCTGTTGGCCAGGTAGAAGACTGCTTCCAAGCTCTAGTTGAAAGCACAGAAGAGAGGGTGCTGTCTGTGCTTCCAATAATCTACACTAAACTCCCTATTGCTATAGATAGATGGTAAGTTTTTTAAGGACGCTTTCTCCTCAAGAGCAAACATTTTTTTAGGTAATATACTTCTAATTATCTTGTAATTCAAATGAGGAGATGCTTCTGCCAGGTGGCTCAAA